GGGATTCTTAGCAAGACCATGAGCCACAGAATTGCACTCTCTAACAGCATGATGGCAACTAAACACATTAAACAATTCAGCAAGTTCTTTCACCTTAAGCAACCTTGTGCGCATCTCAGTAACTGGAGAAAAAACAATCGGTAAGCCAACCAGTTTAACAACATTAGCACAATCAGTTTCAAACATAACTTTTCTGCTACACACTGCATTGCCCATAAAACTACTTCTATTTCAGCTTCCTCCACCGATAGTGAGTCTCGTATTATCTGCATCCTAGCTGCCATAACCAGACCCAACCTATCTCGCATCATGAATCCCAACCCAATCTCTCCAAGCTTACCGCTGCATCTGTATTAACCTTATAAATGTCCCCAGGTGGTGGAGTCCATTTCTTAGATTCTGATTCGCAAGAGCAGTGGACGAATTCGGACGATTTAATAAATCTTAAATGCAAAGGAAATAACTTAAGTTAATAAAGGGATTTATTTTAAATATATCAAATTAAAGAATTATTCCAAACAAACCTATTAACTTATCCATTAAATTCAACTAGCCTAGATTCTATCGAAATTTCAGCAACACCTCCCCTAAAAATGGGACTATCAACCTGTTTAAATATCCCAATAACACTAAATATTATTCAATCAATACACACAGCCCATCCATCGGACAATCAAACAAATTTATTTCCCTTCCTCCATCCAAAGTAATCACACCAATATTTAATCGTCAATGTCAAACTTTAACTTACTATATAACATTAATTAAATAAATAAATAAGCAAATAAGTGAAAATAGCTATTTGCTTAACCTTCGCATGTTACTAGGTAAACTATCTAATATAGACCCTTAATAAACTCCTTTATTAGTTTTGGTTATTAGTTATTTAATTCACTTAATTAAATTATACATATATTTCTAGATATATATATTGGGTTTCCTTATTTATCTATTCTAATGTATCACTTTTAAATAAAACGTTTAGGTATTTGTTAAGTAATATTTTATAATAATACGAATAAATTCATAATAATAATACGATTGATAATATAATATTAATAACAATAATCAGTTTAATCGTACTTCCTATTGAAAAATTCGACAACATTTCCTCTATAATCAGTACTACCCAAATTTTATATTTTTCCGCATGTCAACACACAGCCCATCCATCGGGCAATTCACATCAAACAATCCCGTCCATCATAACCATCATTTAGTAGTCACCCGTCATACATACATAGGCACTTGTTAATCCTATCTCTAATTCATTTTAAATTTCCATAATATCATATAATTACTTATACCGTAAATTATAATTTTCTTCTAGTTATACTTCTTAAAATTCCTGCAATTAACATATATAATTATTAGTTAAAATTCATATTTCAATATCAATACTGTAGTTACTTTTAATAATATTCAATTTAATTCACTTAATTACTCAATTAATTCGTTAATTAATTAACACGAAATTTATTCAACAATTGCAATTTAACTGCATAAATCTCCAATTTTAATAATTCAATTAATCTTATATCCAATTAATTAATTAATTCACGTTGTCAATTTTATACCGAAAATGGACAACTAAGCCTTACAATGTCCCGATGGAAAATCGGATTTGATTTCCGCGACCCGCGCGAAGAGGAGATCATTCTGCCTCTCGGAGTCCTCGCTCGAGTCTCGCCGGCCGGTCACCGGAATGCCGCCGTATACGGTGGCCGGAAAGTCGCAGATGCCCAGAACCAAGTGTCGTTCACGCCATCTGACTCGATTTTGCATAAGGAACCCAAATCTCAAATCAATTTCACCATTCAACACCCAATTGTCAAAAATCCTAAATCAATGCAAATTGAAAACTAGATCTAAATTTCTTCTCAAATCTCCATCCGATGATCAAATCATTAATAAAACTGTTGAAGATTCATTACCTATCGAGCTAAGCCATAGAAGATCACCGATATCGTCGAGCCTCACCGGAGAATCGCATTGGTACAGAGGAGGCAGTCGTGTCGCCGGGGAAGAGCTCGCGTCGTCGCTGCTGAGGGCCTGATCGGCATGACTGATGATGGCAACGTGACCGGTGGCAAGAGAGGGATCGATCGCCACCCACCATCGTCAGTCTGGTGGCCGGAGACAGAAGGAGAGGGAGGAGGGAGGGATCGCGCGCCTGGAGAAGAAGGAAAGGAAGGAAAAGAAAAAGAAAGAAAAGAAAGAAAAAAAAAGGCCAACGCTTCTAGACCATTTCGGTTCGATTCGAACCGGTTTGGTCTAATTCAATGAGACGGCGATCGCACCCTTTTGCGATTCGACTATCACTCGTTCGAATAGTTTCTGTGCTGTGAAGACGAAGTCAGAGAGAGAGAGAGATAGAGAGAGAGAGACAGAGACAGAGACAGAGAGAGAGAGCAGTGAAGGAGCAGCGGCGGCGGTAGGAGGCAGTGGCGTTGGCTGGTGAACGGAACAGAAAGGGGAGGGGAGGCTGTGGTCGGTGCTAATGGGAAGGAGAGGAAAATATCTTTTTGCCCAAAACAATAAATTTTTGTTTAGATTTTTAGGTTTTGGTTTGATTTGGTTCGATTTTGGTTCGATCCAAATCATGGTTTTTGTGTGGTTCTCAATTCTTTCATGGGTTTCTCCAATGGTTTAATCTAATTCATGGGTTTGGTCTAGCAAATAATGTATTTATTATTAGAATTTATTTAAATAATTCACAAAACTATTTTTAATTGCAAAAATATCCTATAATATATTTGGTTAAAATTAATATTTAGACTTTTAAATGAAAAACTTTTGAAATGATTTTTCGGATCATTTCAATCTCCTCCTTATAAAAATTCATCCTTGAATTTACCAAAAAAAAAAAAAAAAAGGATAAGGCAGGGAATGTACCATAAGCAAAGAGCATATAAGGATATTAATAGGAAGATCATCATTTTGATTAACCTCCAAGAATAAATGGAGGAGAGGTTTCATGGTAACTTAAATCCTGAAACTAGCAAACAAAATTCCATCATATTCAAAATGAATTTCGTTCAACTGTCTATTACATCTATTGTCACTTGATTAAAGCTCACAAGAAACTTAAGCTCTTTACCTTGACTCTTCAATTGCCATCACTGGTCAGCTACTGAAATCCTTAGAAAATCTTTCTTTGATAAATCCTTCAACTAAAACTGGGTTTAGCAATTAAAAGCATAACTTAATTTTTTTCTTTTTTTCTTTTTATTTTTTATTTTTTATTTTTATTTTTAACCACCAATATTCCAAACTGACATTTATTATATATCCTAAATATCTCCATCTTTTACTTATTACTCACCAATTCATAAATTTTTAGTAAAATCGCTTAAGTTCTTTTCCTAATATCACCCACCAATGCCTCTATACACATTAAGAATTAATTCTACCCTTTGCGTACACCATCAAGTCACCTCAATAATTCCTTATTATCCAGCTTCAATGCCTAATATTGACTTTCCTTTCCCAGTCCATATTCTGAATTAAAACTTCCATATTTTTCCTTACCATAGATCCAACATTCAGATTTAGGTCTTCACTAATTAAATTTCCTAGTTTTATCTGGGGATTTGTAAACTTAAGAGTACTATTTACCCATTACCATCATTTATCAATTATATAAATTCAATTTTCCTATCTCATCCATCTTTAGTCTATTAATCTTCTTCTCCAAGTCTTCTTTTGAAATCCTAATAACCAATTCCACCAGTAATCATTCCATTGACTTAATTAACTAGCCCCGATATATGTAGACAACTTCCCCTAAATAAACACTTATCTATGATCATATAATATAATTTCACATAAACAGGCAATTTTCGAGTGACTTATCATAACGTAAATAAAGCTTAAAATCAAATCGAAATCTTACAATCCAAAGTATCAAATAGAAGCAGTTAAAAATGTTTATGTTTAAATAAAACAAATCGAAGGGACTTCAGTGGCAGACTCTAATGCTTGGGCACAAGTTATTGAGTACCTTAAAGTCATACGTCTCTCAATCTAAAATCTCAGACATGATAAGAAAAATCAAGGGTTTACTCATACAAAATACCTATTCCTTTAACTCCAAAGCATCCACAATCAACTATATAATTAAGTAATTTTTCATAGTTACTAATGTTATAAGTATCCATATTCATTAATCTACCACATAAATGAAAATCGCTATCCATATCCTGAAATTATCCTACTCACTGACAGGAATAGATTCCACATGAAAAGTAGTGCATTGGGTGATCAAGGCAACTCACTACTATCCAAGCGTTACTTTATTCCCAGGTCTAACAGGTGATACCTGCTATAGCAACTGTAGACACTATGATAGGTTGATCCTGTTGTCCACTATATTTCACTCAGATCCTTAATTACTTCTTTCTATGGTCTATCGATTTACAAAATGGGTATGGATTTTCCCACCTCATAGGGTTCGTGCGTCCACCATCCTTAGGGATGAAAATCATCAGGTTTCTTTCCTTGCGTTGGTTACGGCCAATCCCAACATAAGGAAATTCCTAGTCCATACCTATCCTAAAATTATTGCAATAATCTGCACCCTACACTCATCCTCTTTTATATTAAGTTCAAGAAATAGCACATACACCCAACGAGATAGAGATTTACTCTACTCGTGATAACAATGGAAACGCTGAAATAGAAGCAAAGGAGACTGAGAAAGACAATACGGAATTCCCTACACTCCGCAGTTACTTTGTAAGGTTCTAACCTAAACTCTGATATCAACTTTATCACGACCCGAAACCATGGGCCGGACCGACGCTATGGCCTAAGTAAGCTTAAGGCCCCCAAGGCCTGTAGTAAGCCCGAATCACTAAATTCAATCACATCACATTAGATCACAGGAACAATAAGCCTATATTATTTTATATAGCAAATCTTATGATTATACTATATCTTGGCCCGAATCCCAGTTTCAAATATTTCATAACGGTCCGTATATGCACATATAGTTCTCTAAATCATCAACCTAAGTTATCCATTAACATGCTTACACTCGTACGTAATTGGAATTATCATGATCTTATAATAGGAATTATGATAGCCCTACAACAACAGAGTTCAGTATCAAACAGTAATAAATATGTTCTTGTACATAACGCTCACAACTTAAATAATTACTGGAATTAGGAAATTACTTTTCTAGCTATGTGGTGAAGGAAACAGAGCTTTAGCCGGGACAAAGAAGAATCTACTTCCTAGAAAAAAAAATTAAACAAAAGATATGAGTTTTATAAGAAATAATAAATATTACATAACACAAGCATTCACACGAAATGCTTCCTAAAATACTAAAATGAATACAACCAGTCAAGCATATGACACAACATCAACACCCACAAGTAATCGCATCATCAAATAATCAAACAAGTGGAAATTGGCCAGTGGCATCACTGAAACCCCCCGATAAGCTGTCCTCACACATGGCCCATCCTCTCATGACATGTGCACCAAGGAGCCGATCCCCCATACATGGCCGACCGGTCTAATCTTCAATTGATCAGCCCTCTCATCTATTTTATAATCTCTTTTCTTTCTATGCCAACAGGAGGCTACCCTATGATTTTCTATATCATATATGATCAGATGCACACAGGGGCATCGATCTCCCTATACATGGCCGACAGTATCGTAGACCGCCCTCACAAACCCATGGTGACCCACTTCATCTCAATTCTACACAAACAAGGCATAGCAATATCACAACACAAATAATCAAACATCGCATTTAAATGCAACACATTAATAAACAAAGATTATGCAACAAGCTTAGTGAGATCAACATAAACCACAATTTTTCTATATTCATGAAATCTCAAACTTTTGAAATTCTTGTCTTAAATCCCCTGATACATCATTATTCCTATTTCTATCAATCTTACTAATAATAATTGTTAAGTTATCAAACCTCTAAATACTAAATATCCTCAATATTATTTCTGTAATTCCACCAATTACACTCCTCACGTTTCTGTAATTGGCTCTTGTCTTAAGATCCATACAATAACAAGACTAGATCCATTCTTGCTTATCTAAGTCATTGGTAGAACATCAATTCAATAATTGGATAATTATCCCATAATGTCTGATGTCATTCATCAATACACTTAACTGTCATGGCCCACAATTCACAGAACATAATTGTCTTAATTTCTTAATAAGAATCACAATGTACTTTTCTTATAACCACAATAATTTATATTATTCCCTGTATTCATACACTTAAAAAGAAATAGCGGATGAACACCACAATACGCTTCATTCCACCAAGTAGTAATTACTTCTCATAATTAAAAACCACTTCATAAAATAATTCCACCAACATTATTTCTTACAACAAAAATTACTCATCATCAATTATTATTGCAAATCATTTCTTAATAACCACCAATAATTTATATTATTCCTGTTATTATAAACACTTGAAAAGAACTATCCAGCTCATGAATTATACACAATACACTTCACTCCACCAAGCAGTCAATTACTCTCATAACTAAAAATCACTTTAATATAATCAAATTCACCAACATTATCTATCTTCACGAAAAATACTCATTGACATTATTATTATTGCAAATCAAACCAAATCATTTATTTATTTATTTTTTTAAAACCTATAAATATCCATTTATGTAATACACAGTTAACAAATTAATATATATATCACATTACAGAAGATTACCTCAAATAGTCCCATAAATAAATTCACCAAACCAACAATAAACGGTATAACTTTATCAACATCTAATACTCTAATTAATTACATCCTAAATGTCCTTAAATCCGAAATCAATCTAGTTCTCTTATTAATTAACCCTCATTCTCAACATATATTTTCCGCAGGCATACATATACTCACATTCGTGTATTTTTATGTATGTAGTCCACATCCAACACATATTAAATACATTAGCATACTTGTATCGTTTAACTTCACCCTATTAAACATATATCACTTATCTTCTTACATAATTAAATTATATATAAATGTTATCTATTCCATAGAAGAAAATTTAAATTTTTTTAAGCTATGGACACAGTTTCCATTAGAAAGAGTACACTGGTTGATCAGGTCACTGCACTTCCTTCTAATTTCTTCCGTGTTTAAAAGCTTTGACTAACTTTTAAAATACCATTATTTATAGATATAATTATCTTTCCCTATTTATTTATATATTTATTATTATTATTATTTATTTTATTTATGATTCTGTAACTGTCTTAGTGCAC